TTGCATGCTTAGAATAATGAAAGCTAATGATTCCAATCTTTAAATTAGTGCTATTACATTACTAGGCATGAGAATAAAGGATTATTTCCCCCTATAAAGAAATGGATTTAGCTGTAGCGATAGCTATCCCTCTAGTGACGTCACGTTTAGCCACACCCACCGACAGGAAGTAACCTGGCAGGAAGGGAAAATGGGCATTTTTGAAGGCTCATATCTCAGTGAATAATTTTTTTCAGACAATGGGAGTTGGAACACATCATTAGTATGGTCAGGCAATCATATTAAGCAAATAAAAAAAATATCTCAAAAATGCACTGAAGTTACCCTTTAAGCATTTGTGCTTATAAGCACTTTAAGCAATTTTTTGTAAATGCTTGAAGGTGCTTGCAAGCTTTAATCATATTGCAAACACTTGTGCTTGACTTGTATTTAAGCTCTTTTTAATGTAAATGCTTTAAAGCACTTTTTAAGCACTAATGCTTGTCTGTTTTATCAGCTATCACTAATATAGCTGTCATGCATGTGTATGACATCTATCATAACATACGCATGAAACCTGCTGTCAGTTTAACCTTTAAAGATGGCCACAACCACGAAGAAGCTACCAGATTTTATTACTGTAATCTTTTTGAAGTTTTGAGTGGTGCTTTCAGAGCCTAAGTGCCGCAACTATTGCCATAAATTATAAATAGAGTGCTTTACTTGTGCTTTAAGCACTTTTAACAGTGCTTTAGGAATTGCTTAAAGCACACTTTTAATTACAGCGTTAGTGCTTGTGCTTGTGCTTAAGCACTTTCACAAGTGCTTTAGATGTGCTTAAAGCACATTGCTATATTGAAGCATTTGTGCTTGGCTTGTGCTTTATGATGTGCTTCAAGCATTTTAGAAAGTGCTTGCCCCATGTCTGGACTACATACCAATTTCCTCAAAGGTAGTGTTTGCGGATGCTTTGTCTCTAACACTGTCATTATCTGTTACAAAATTAAGTCAATCTTATAAACTGAAATCTACTCACTAGATGAGTCTTCAGAAAACATCCTCTTCAAAACAATGTGACTTTTTTCCAATGTACTCATGCTAATGCTATAATGAGATAAAAATTATAATGAATGTCCATATACATGTAATTTCAAATTACCTTGCATTCTTGGTTTGTATTACTTTGTATAAATTTTGCAGCTTGTTCAGTTCATTGGATGGACCACCGTTCTTCCTTCTGTCTATCATTTCAGACAACTGGGGTAGGTAACACTGTAGCTCCTCTAGCTTTTTTGCAACAGCAGCTACATTATCAACAGAGGTGGTGTTGACTTTACTACTAGTCTGGGATAATACTGAGGAGCTCTACAATTAAAAGTATAAATTACTACATGTAATGTTATTATTAAATATAATATAAATAGATACAATAAGATTTGTATTCTATAAATCACAAGTAAATAAAAAACATTAAAAATGGAAAAGTAGTAGGATTAAATTGTAAAAAAGTAAAGAAACAAGAGGGGACTTGCAAACT